CCGTGGACGTGGTACATTCCCAAACGTTTCGCCGGCATCGTCAGTGAGTATCACCATTCTTAGCACCATACATCATCTCGTCAAAGAGACAAATGAAGCCGATCCTTTGACCAAACGTGTGCTAAATAATTGTGGTATCTCCCTATTTGCCCTGGGTTATTTACTTTTCCGGTAGCATCCTAGCATACCTTCATTATTACAATTTGTACCGTGTTCATTTAGATAATGTGGTGTGCTCCTTTGAGCGACATGATACCTTCACACTCCAACTGTCGTTCTCACCCCCTCCCTTTATCCTTGTGCAGGGAATGTTGATTAGAGTCTGCTTTATTTTTATGCCATTTTCTTTACTAGTCTTATACCAGTCTCTCTCTTGCTCCGTAAAATCCGTCTGCTCTACCCCTTCTTTACCTAGTTAACTCGACTCCTGCCACCAAATCTGTCCTACTCAAGGCGTTATTCGCTCTCACCTGCGTCTGGGTGACTAATTCGAGGCACAAGTCTCTGAGTGTCATGGTCACCCCTTTGCTACATGTGCCACATCTCAGGTACAACAAACCTACCATCAGCCATCTAGCTCCGGTCCCCGCCGTCCCTATCCTGTTTCTATTCCTAATACCATGTCTATGATTTGCCATGCCCTAGTCTCTTGTGTTCCAACCCATAAATGTTGTGGTTCAGCTTGTTTTGATTTGGTTCAATGTTGAACCACAACATTTGTGGGTTGGCACACAAGAGACTAGGGAAGTAATAGGCTTGGTATTATAGATAGAAAAGGATAGAAACTGTGGAAGCTAGAGCTGGTTGGCTAACAATAGTCGTGATTCAAGGATCCTTTTTAAGATCAAACACGTCTATTGTTAGCCAAACAGATTTAGTCTCCACCTCGTCTTTCCTGTTTCTATCTATAATACTATAACTATCACTTCTTATGTCCTAGTCTCTTGTGTGCCAACCCACAAATGTCGTGGTTCTACTTGTTTTGAAAAGGCTCACTGAAGACTTATTCTCTTTGCTTCTGATTCTTTCTTTCCCATTCCCTTGCGATCCATTTTCCTAAAATTAAGGATATCACCTTGTTCCAGTCATCTTTTTTTGCTCATCTTTCTGTTGACTGGTCTTCTCCTAGTTTGTTTAGGCAATATGCAAAGTTTTCACTGATCCTGCCTTCTTCAAGTCTCCTGTTCATTAGATTTCTATCGGTCAGTATATCAATGGCCTTTCGGATCTTGCGTTTTCTTGTATTTTCACCATATCCAGCCAACCTATCCGTCGATTTCCAGTCGATTGCATGCCCGGCCGTGCAATGTGTTCCGCTATTTGTGATCTTTGTGTATTCATGTTCTTGCAGACTCTTGGATGTTTCTTGATTCGTAGGCCAATTTTTCGTCCCGTTCACCGATATACTTCTGCTCACAGTTGCCGAATTTGATACGATAAACTTCCGAACAGTCACGTTTATCCGTCTTCTCGTGTTGTGTTGGCAGACCGGTGAAAAGTGTGTTCTCTTTGTTATCACCTTGATATTCCATTTATCTAATAAAGGTCGCAATTGTTAGCTCAGTTTTGATGATGGCAAGCAATCCACTTTTGGTTGTTATCCTCATTCCTGATCTGATTTTCATAAAATCCAAGTTGAAATCGGCTTTTATAACCTCTACATTTTTCTCTATTAATTCTCTGGGGTATCCATTACTTAGACAAATCCAACTCTTCGTCCCAGAACTATTTGTCTGTTAGTCGTTAGCTTTTGATGATCAAACTCCTCAGTATTCTGATATTCAGTCTGTAGTTATGATGAAACTGGAAATTAACGGCATTATCTATGAGAAAATATTTGGACTACCGATGGAATCACCACTCTCACCTCTTTTGGCAAATGTATACAGGGACAAGTTGGAAAGGGAATTCGAGAATTCACCACTGCAGGTGTATAAAAAGGTGACTAAGGCGGCAGCCGGCCATCTTATCTCTTGGTTTAGTATATTTTTGTTCTATTTTGTCAATTATGGATACCTGATCTGATGATGTCGGTCACAGGATAGACGAAAGCTTAGCACAGTTTCATCCGGGTCGCAAGGTTAGCCGAGGACTTCTTAGCACAATTCAGCAGTCTTCCTTATGCGGTAATCCTCCTACGGTTTCCGGTGAGTCCACATCATGAATTCCTTCCAACCAACTTTTCATTCGAAATTGAATGTCATGTCACAATATATCAGTAAGGAATTCTTCGAAACTATATTTTTCTTCATATGCGAATTAGAGCCTAGGCGCTCTTCTTGGGCAGGGGGGGCAATATACGTGCTTCTAAGGGCATAAGAAATAGCGCTTGGAGTAAAAAGTATTTTAAGACTGGAACCGAGTGAAACGGATTAATGGGACCATAAGGGAGATCCGAATTGGAGGTCCAAGTCGGATTAGACCATCAAAGGTGAACGGCACATGTGATGATGCCACACTAAACTTGCCAAAAACGATACACCTTTTGACGAGTAGAATTAAAACAAGTCAGAAGTTGTGATATGGCGCGAGTGGTATAAGAGTGATATAACAACGGTTTCGGCAGAAAGCTGGTTAAGGGATTGACTTCACTTGTTTCTTTGACGAGTCGTAGTTTGGTGCTTAGAATGGCAAGACTTACTGATAATGTCGGTGAAAAGACTGAGAATGCACCAATCGACGGTATGGGAATTATGCTAACTCCTAAGACAGAGGACTTTGAACAAGGTTCGTTCAACAATGTCGCTCTGACAATAAGACCAAGTTGCGAAAACGACGTCACCTCACTTCTATACAACGAAAGTAGATTGCGACCATACCGAGGGTTACAACATCTTGGTCTTCATAGCTTCGATTAGAATAAGTAAGTTTGGATATAAATAAATAGTATATATGACCGCCAATTTTTTTAACGCATACAATCTTTTGTATTCAGTCTTTAATATTGGTTATTCTGTCGTTAGATATTTTTATTGAATAAATAGTACTGCATAAATATCAAAATATTATAATTATATATACTCATATTCAGGGAGTCAGACAGCATCTTATTGAAACTTTTCAAAAAGTTAGCCAAATAAACCACTCGACTAAATATCTACGAACTTTAATTGAGTGTTTTTTTTTACTCGACTATGTCCAAATATTTTTGCAACGACCCCTTTCGGTTTGCTATGTATGGAAAGGCAGGAATTTTGAACATTTATAGAGGCTTAAACTAAAAAGATGTTTAATTTAAAACGGAGTTGTCTGCTAATTCATCTCACGTGAAGTAAAAAAAGTCAAGGTTTTATTGCAAACGAATCACCTGTTCTACCAAAGATATACGTTCTCCATTGATGAGTGTGAGTACTTTGTTGTCATCCATTACGCTGTTCATGCTCTCTATCCAGAGCGTGTCCACAGGTCCATCAAAAATTATCCACTTCTGCTCTAGCTTGTCATCTAAGCGGACGATTTATTTGAAGGCCAGGCCGAATTGTGACGTATTTGCACGAGATTTAAGGAAGTAAAACGAATAAAACCGTGATAGTATAGGACTGACGAGTTCGAGAACTTATAAAAGTTTTTAAATCCCTGATATGATTTAATGATGGCAAAACAGGACTATAAATAGTTAAGATAAGTAGAAATCTAAAATTGTTTTGAGTTTAGTGAAGATTTCCTTAATCATTAGCCTGAAATTCCCATTTTTAATTAATCCCTATTCCAGCATATTTACAAAATAAACACGTTCTAAGTATGTATATGAAACGAAAATGAAATGAGTGCTGTATTTTAGATCTTAAAATTTTATAAACGGATTTTATACTCGATTTCTGCCATCAATCTATCTGGACTTGGACCAGCCATAATTTGTAGTCATGACATAATAACTGAAGGAACTGGCCCAAAACTTCACTCATCAAGGACTTTTTAAAAGATGTGCTTTGGGAAAAATGAATTTACATCCGGTAAAAAAATATGTAAAATTATTATCATGAGTGCAGAAATAAACAATTTCGTTATAGGTTAACAAGTAAAGTCGTGCATAAGGTGTGCCGCAAAAATACAAGTTTATGTGAAATTAAGCCAAATTTTGCGATAAAAGTGTGTTGAATCCTAAAACTAGTACTTTGTTTTTAGTAAGTTTTCGTGCCTACCAGTAAATCAGATATACGAGTAATGTTCATGCTAGTTCGTTTAAGATGAAGAAGGACTGGTAGTTGAATATTCCCACAATAATATGAGTAGAGCTGATGTTTTCATTGAATTTCGCATAGCCTTGCTTCGCCAGAAGTTTCTCTCATACAGGGTGGATTGCAGTTTCGACCTCGCATAGATCTTATAAACACCCTCAGCAGAAGTCGAACTGTGACAGTGCAGCATGTGAGCTTGACACATCACTGTGGGATAATTCAACTAGTGCTTCATTACCTTAGAATATAAGTAAAATATATGATTTACTGGTAATCACGAAAACCTACTCAAAGCGAAATATAAGTAATGCCGTCGATTGATATAGAAAATATATTTTGCTTCATCGTTAAACCTACCACAGAATGTAATATGGGAAAATGCCTGGCCTTCCTTGAAACTCCGATCTGCCATGTGACTCACACGCACTTGTGGCAACGTGTCGTAGTGTTTAACGTGTCGATATTACATGTTGCACTGTCCTGGTTAGCCTTTCGCTGGGGGTGCTAATAAGACCAAGTTGAGGTCAAAACTGTAGTCTACCCCGAATGAGAACACCTTTTATAGAAGCAAAGCTAAAGGAAATCCAATTGAGATGTCAGTTATACTCACATCATCGTGGAAAAATAAAACGACGTCGTTCATCACCTTAAACGAATTATAATGAATATAACTCGTATTATTTTGTATTCAAGACGATATTTTGAGCAAAAAGCTTGTTGTAGAAGTGGGTTGACCTCGTTGCCATAACTTGATCTTGTTGTGAGTTGCGAAAACGAAGTCAACCCACTTCTATAAATCAAAACGAGACTGCGACCATACCGGGGGCCACACCATTTTGGTCTTAATATCTTCGAAAAAATTCCTGGCCTTCCCTGAAGTTCACACCTGCCCTGTAACTCAAGGGCATTCATAGCAGTGTGGCGTAATGATTAACGTTTTTAGATTATACGTTGCACTACCAAACTTCGAGTCCCGATAAGAGTGATGAGGAAACCTAGGCGAGGTCGAAACTGCAGTACATTCTGGATGAGAATACCTATTGTGAAGCAAGGCTATGTGAAATTCAATAAAAACGTAAGGCCCACCTATATAATTAGGGGAAAATTTTAATGTGAAGTACTTCCTCACCTAAACGAATTAGAGCGAATACATTTCATATATATCATCTACAGGTAGTCTCGAAAACCTACTTATAAACGAAAAATATGTAAATGCAAAAAAATTAAAAAGATGTATTTGAATAGTAAGCATTTCTTGATCGAATGCCAAATGAGACAGAACAACTAATCTTGTCCGTAGTCCATAATATTCTTGATAATTTCAAGAGTCGTACCGTAGACTCTGTACATTCCCAGGCGTTTTGCCTACATTGCTAATGAGCCTTACCAGTCCTAGAAGCACACTCTAACTCGTAAAATAGACAAGTGAAGTCGATACTTTTACAAATTTTCTGCTGAATGGTTTTAGAACCTCTCCTCCTATGCTATGACATTCACTTATCCTATCAGAATTTCTTACTTGCATATTTGAGCCTAATTCAAATGTGCCCATTTAAGCGTATTTGATTAGACATATTCCCACTCCACTGCCAGCATAGTTGGGGAGAGTGCATAGGGAATCAACGGGGAGTGTGAATATGTAGCAATAAAGGCTGCTCAAAAGGGCAAATAAGGAATTGTGATACGGAAGGGATGATATGAGGATATAGAATAAGTGGATGGATCAGGAAAAAAGGGGAGATGCCAAAACTGGTCAGCAGACACTTGGTGAAGGAATCGACTTCGCGTGTTTCTGATGCGTTTAAGTGTGTTTCTAAGAATTGCAAGGCTTATTGAAGATGCATACTACGATGATAGCTTAGCGTATAAGAATGTACCAAGTACAGGGTCCGACACTGGAATTTATCGCGGATATTATGGTATCCAAATAAAGTGTGTTTCTCCAGGTCCTTCTGAAAATGCGACCAAGTTGCAAAAACAAGGTCAAACAATTTCTATACAACGAAAGGAGATCGCGATCATACTAAGGATTACACAATCTTTGTCTTCATTCCTTCGAATAAGCATTTCCGTTAAAATAGTTCTCTCCATTCATCTGAGAATTATTAAGTATGTTTAGTTAGAATAATCTGATTAGAGTTGAATTCACTAGATAGGGGATATTTTCTGGGCTTGGTTACAGTATATGTTGCGGTCGTGGCTACACGTAATTTATAAATCATTAATGAGTATGTGACCTTGTTGTATATCTGTCTAATATAGGAATTGCTATAAGTAAGGTTCAAACGTATTAAAGAAATGATTCCGAAACACACAACTAAAGACGTGCAATGATAGCTAGAATTTGTTCCTAGCTGGAATAAGGCTTTCAACCTAATAGGCCCTATTTTTCTCGAGTAAAGTTCACATTTTAAACAAATTATATAATTTTAGAGTATGCCAATATTCCTCTCACCTGCACAAGTCATTCTCATTAGCGACGATAGCACTCCATCTGACCACTCTCCAGCTGCCAAGTCGAATTCACCGTAGAGCTCACCCAGTGATACGGCTTTAGGATTGAGAGGATACTCGGTTACACGCTCAAAGCCTGGTTCTCCAGCTTTCGCCAGTTTATTGTAGGCCATTTGTAAGAGGCGCCAAGTAGTAGATTTGCCTGACAATGTCTGGCCGACAATCATTACCGAGTGGCGCGAGCTCTTCGTCTCGTATAGCTGAATAACTTTGGTTACTGTGAAATTGGCTGGCTGAAGATTACAATCTTTGCAGCATTCCTCCACCACCTGCTTCATCTGAAGATGATATCGATGGACAATGAAAGAGAAGAAAACAATAAAAATACTGAGGAAAGTTAAGTACAATTTTGCATGATTAGTTCAAATTATTAAAAATCTAATAAATATTTGAGAGCACCAGGAAAGTTGTGTATGCAGTGTTAAAAAAAGGATTGATAATTTTTTGGAGTGCATTAAAATTATTCTATTTCAATGATTTTAATCATTGCTATAATGAGATTAATAGTGACAGTCAAAACCTCATTCTGGATATAGTAAAGCATTTCAAGGAGGATAGACGTTGAAATGGATTATTAGAGCAGGTTGTATTATTAACAGTATAAAAAGACGATTCGATAGATTAATTTATATCAATTATAATTATTTTGAGAGCAAAAAAATAATAAAATCTTTGCAGATTAAGCGGAAGAGAGCCCAAAGGAATTAGAGTCCAAGCTAATGCTCATCCATGCATTATCAAAAAGCTAACAGAAAACGGATGAACTTAAATGATAGAAATAATATTTAAAACAAGTGATTTATTTAAGGACTGACTATAGAGTAGACAAAATGCAAAGGTAATATGATACCTCATGATCATTTTCAATAAGTCATTACTATAACTCTTTTAGCAAATATTTAAGTTGGAAACGCTTATATAAACAGAAGTAAAAAATTGGCAAATAAAAATGGATTAAAGTGATACTGGCATAAATATATTATAATTAACTTATAAGACAAAAAATATTTTTGGCTAACCTGATTTAAAATTACTCCATACAAAGTTCACAATTATGTATTTTTTTATATAAAAAAATATACGAATAATTTACCCGCAATTTCTTACCATAGTGTAATCTATCTGTGGTACTTCAAGGCCTGGAAACAAGTCGGCCATGATCCCCTTGAAAAGAGGCAGATCCACAGCGGCTAGTTTGGCCAAATTCATGTCATTCATTGAGAGAAGAAGGATTTCTTCATCTGGCATGTTTGGATTAGCTCGTTTTTTGCAGCCGGCGTAACGCAGGACGGACACTAGTGCTCGCAAGCCGAAATCGTAGTGATCCTGCTTGCTCAACTGCTGTACGGATAGACTGTACAAAGTAAACACCTTCTTTGCAAGTGTCTAAATGTTATGAAAACATGAGGGAATGATTTTTGTAAGAGAAAGAGCATATAAAAGTAAATTTATTCGCATATTTAGTCGCATAGAGTTTGTATAAGGATACTGATCTGAGAAGAGCAACCTATCAATAGTAAGTCATTTGGTAAAGTCTCTTTGTCATTTTATTACGCTTTTCAGTAGGCTTTTGAGACTACCAATATATAACATATATGACTTGTGTTCACTCTATTTCGTTTAAGGTGATGAAGTTGAAATTCCCCACAATCATATGAGTAGATCTGACGTTTCTATTGAATTTTACATAGCCTTGTTTTCCCAAAAGGTGTTCTCATCCAGGGTGTTAATCAAAAGTTAAATTATACAATTTCGGAAATACTTCTGCCCAGGTTGATGAGCTTTTTGAAGGAGTACGTACAAGAAAGAGAGTGAACTAAGACTTGTAGAAAATATTATTGTAATTAGAACCACTGCCATCAAACCTGGATCACAGGAAAGATGTGAATTTCGGATGAATATTGAAAACTTGATTGCCTTCAGAATACAAACCATTTTAATGTTTTGTGAAAAGAGCTCTTAAGGTCTAAATGTATACGGACTAAATGCAGAGAAGAGAAAAAGTTAGGATTAGCAAAAAATATATGAGAATAGAATATTGTCATTTGGGAAATGATGATGATGATGATGATGGTACAAAGCCAAGAAAATAAATTATTTTATTAAAACAGAACATCTCCTGGTTATAAAAAAGGATTAAATTGAACTGAACGCAAGAAAGTTTAGATTATTGAGAAGGGTTTGAATATATTGCAGAAATTTGTCTACCTAACTGAAATACTCGACAGCAAATAAAAAAGTCTTAGATATGTGGAACCATTTCAGATACAGTGTGACATTGAGCCGACTCACTTTATTTCCACTAAAGCCTTCGGCAAACAAAGTGATCTCAGCTATCATCGTCGAGTCTGGCACCACCATAGAGATTGGCCGGAACATCGATTTCAGGTTGTCTGGTAGCTCTGTTCTTCCAGCATACCCCGGATTCATAGTGATGAAGATTCCGCAGGACCAGACCAGTTGGATCATCCGACCCTCAAACATGAATCTGCTACGCTCATTGCCAGTCGAGTTATAAGCCAGACTATCAAGGGAAGATAGGATTGAAAGGATTTGCTGGGCCACAACAGAGAGTACTTCGATGTTGATACTGTCCATTAAAGGAATTAAATAAGACAAAAAGATAGCATGACATAAAATTGTTTCAATAATAGTCACCAATAGTAAAGAATTGGAACAATT